GTCGAGGACGTCCGCGACGTCGTCGTCGAGCACGGCGAACAGGACGCGCGCGTCGGACGTCCTCGCGCCGTGCTCGACGAACGCGGCCGCGGCGTCCGCGGCGGCGTCCGCGGCGTCGACGAGCGGCGCGCCGCGCGCGCCCGCGCCCATGAGCGGCGTCGCGAGCGCGGCGCCGCCGTCGCAGCCGAGGTCGAACGCGCTCCCGTACGCGGCGCCGAGGTCGCGGCGCCAGGCGTCCGTCGGCGCGCCGGGCCAGAACGGCGGCACGGCGAGCACGAGGCCGCGGCGGAAGACGCGCGCGAAGGCGCCCGCGCTCGGGACCAGCACCGCGGCGCCCGTCGGGCATCTCACCGGGTGGGCCTCCGTGCCGCCGACGACGGGCGCGTGCGCGAGCGTCGCGGCCTCCTGCGCGGCGCCGCCGAACTCCGTCACGGCGCCGTCGACGGACTCGCACTGGTAGAGCATGCGGCTCGCCTCGCGGTAGCGCTCGGGCAGCGCGGCCTCGCCGATCCGCTCCGCGACGGGCGTCGGCCCGCCCACGGGGAAGTGCGCGAACTGCGTGCCCACGAGCCGCTCGTTCGACGGCACGCACAGGCGGTCGCAGGCCGGCGGCATGGTCACGACGCAGGGCGTGATGTGCAGCTCGACGGCGCCTCGCGCGTAGCGCGCGAGGCGCTGCATGGGAGTGTCGCGAGGCGCGCCGTTCAGCGCGATGTTGCGAGCGCTCGAAGCGAACAGATTAGCCTCTATCGCTGGCGCGCGAGGCGCACCGTTCAGCGCGACGCTGCGAGCGCTCGAAGCGACGAGAATCGGTGCTCAAAACTTCTGTAGGGAGCGGCCATGCAAGGGCAGGCCAAGACCGCAGCCAGCCGCCGGGGGTCGACCCAGCCAGCCAGCCAGGGACGTCCGGTCCACGGAACGACCCCTCGCTACAACCTCTACAACGCGCGCCTACGGCGCGCCGCGCCGTCCTGGGGCGGCTGCGGCGACCGGCTGGCCGCCGGCCACGCGCGTCGGCGCTCGCGCTTCCGTCACCCCCGGCGGCCACTCCGGGCGCCTAACTAGATTTTGACATGATTCCCGCGCGAAAATCGCAAGATTTGCACATGCAACGTCTACATTGAAGAAATGGGTGGCTCTCATTGGCCAGCCAGCCAGCCAGCCAACATCTACCTCACGGTCAGCCAAACCGGGTCCCGGCGGAGGGTTGTTATCGTGGACTGCCCTAGGGCCATGCTCGATTACCACAGCATGTTGAGATCATGTTGGCGAGCACCTTCGACCTCTTGGCGGCGGCCGGAGACGCTCCGGGGCCGTCCCACAGGTCGTCTAGCATGTCGGCCATGGACAACATGAACATGTTCAACGCGTCGGCCTACGGGTCGGCGGACGACGCCTTCCGGGCGGCCCAGGAGCAGTTCCGCGGCGGGAACAGCGTCAAGCCCGGCGGCTTCCGCGGCGACTCGAACTACGCCCGCGGCGGCGGCGGCGACTTCTACGGCCACGGCGGCGGCGGCGGGACCCAGGTCCCGGGCTTCAGCGACGACGCCGTCGCGCGCGAGGCGACGCGCGAGGCGAACAACAACCCCATCTTCAAGAAGGAGCGCCACCCCATCGACAGCCACGACTCGCTCTACGGCGTGAGCGACCGGTCGCCGCTCGAGGCGGACCCGCGCGACTACGAGAGCGACGACGAGGAGCTGCCCATCATCGAGGAGATCGACGAGTACGACGCGCCGACGCGGGGCCGCGGGTCCAACCAGCTCGCGCGGGGCCGCGGCGGGAGCCCGCCGCCGGGCGAGCGCGGCGGCCGGTCGGGCAGCCCGCCGCCGGGCGAGCGCGACCTCGACGCGGAGCTCAACGACCTCGTGGTGAGGGAGGCCGAGGAGCTCGAGCCGGAGTACAACGCGGAGCTCGAGGGCTTCGAGCGCTACAGCGACGCGACGGGCCTCTACAGCGGCGACAAGCAGGAGCCGCGGATCCCGAAGCATCTGGAGCTCAAGCTCTGGGACCTCGCGGAGACGGAGGACCAGAAGAAGGCGGGCGTCGGCCTCTTCAAGGCCTGCGAGTGCGACATGGACGACTTCCAGGACGTCTACAGCGCCATGGTCGCGCCGGAGCAGTTCGACGAGGAGATCAAGGCGAACCCGCCCATCGGCTCGGGCACCTCTACG